GGCTCTTTTCGATTGGGGGGGCTGAAAGCGAGGGCCGAAGGCCCGAGGAAATTTTTAAATTTAGAGTCTCTAAAATGCCATTTCCTGGACTTTGGGGGGAAGATTTAACAGAATTCTGATAGTCAGAAAACAGCGTTTTAGTATGTCGAAATTTACAGGAAAGTATGGGCCAGACTGTGGTATTATAAATGCGCGGCGGGAATTTTCGTCGTATTAAAATGGCAGTTGCGCGGAAATGAAGGCAGAACATTTGAGAAAATTTCGAAAAATCTGGAGTCTCTAGATGGTCTGAAATGGCATTTTCAGAGTTTTCTTTCGCAAGACCCAACACGCAAAAGACAAAATAAATCATTAGTTCATCAAAAATGTGCAGATTTTGTGGGATTTTCTTGAAAATGCGCGACAGAAATTCAGCTAAAATTTCTACGCGAGGAACGATCTGGAGTATGAGTAATATCTTCATTCTTTGCAGTTTGTCACAGATTAAATGATAAAGTTTGCATGATTTTGAAAAAAGAATGATTATTAGCAAATTATTGGGGGGGGGGGCTGCAGCCCCCCCAGCCCCCCCGGTTGCTACGGCCCTGATTTCTTTTCTGTCTGGTTTCTTCAGAAATTTCTTGTGTTTACAGCCGACTTTGAATCGGCGCTGTGTTTCGATATGCTTTAATATGTAAACTCACTTGAATATATTCCATTTCGTCTTACCTTGGCTTTACTTCATTCAGGAACTACATTTTGTCGTGTAGTTTATTTACATCGCTATAATGTTTAAAACACCGTGCTTGATTTGATCAGAACAATGAACAGTAGTTTGAGAGCGCAGTCAAAATCCTTCGATATAAATCGTCTGTTCAGTTTGAGTTGAATACACCCATAAATTCCTGGATATCCAATTACATTGAAATTGCGACAGTCACACATTGCACAAATCTTGTGATTAAAGTTCATGACCCCATAATTTCTCGATGCTGTAAAATCCGTCAACAAACCAGTTGTTGGCCCAACAATGTTGGCGATGATGAATGAAAATTTTGAATAAAGTCGAAATCCGATCCACACATTTTTCAACCTCAGCCAAAATTACGAAACACATGGTCTTGAAACAGACCCAACAATGCTAATGATTTAAATGAACTGTATAGCCTTCCCTAACTCACTTGCTTGCATATACGGCGCTGAACTTGTATGTAATTCAGTGAAAGATAATCCTCGCAGCAAGGCTTAATTTGATGCGGTACATTGCGCAAAAAATTCACCAAGTGTATAAATTCGGCATTAAAATCTCGAAAAGCTACCAAGATTTCTTGAAACAGCCATTATATTCTTCTAATTTATAAACAAATTTTAAATTCGAGCAAAACAATTAATTAAGCAATGTGACAATTAACTGAACATGAAGAGGGCCTGATTTTCTCTCTACGGCAAGCTTTATTGCTATGCATATTAGCTATGACTGTGGCTATGAGCCAACCTCGTTCCCAGGCTCTTTGGCTATGAGCAACCTCATCATGAAAGGCGCCCAGCTTGCTTCACTGTAGCCTGCGTAGCCCCCCTAAATAGCGCCTGTTACGCAGGCTAGCTTCACTGACCTTCGCGGTATTTATGGCGGGGCACCGAAGGGAAAAGGGTTGGGTGTAAAACGAAATTTTGAGTGAGTAAAAGGTTGGGTAAATGCATGAAAAACAAAACAACTCAAGGGTACCGCGATCGAAGTCATTTCCAAAGCGCGACTCACTTAAATATTGAAGATCAAAAGCAATGTCAACAGTCGTATGTCCATATAAACTATACAATATGTAAATCAATCAATCAGAGTCGCTACTGATCTTGATCATTTTCCGGTTTCCAAAGAAAGTACATGTGCATACAGCTATTTCAATTAATGTTGTCCACGAGCAAAGCGGAAAAGTCGAATACGAGCGCGAAAGTCTGCTGGGAATCGCTAACAAATTAATGAATTTTCAAAGCGGTTCCCCAGCAGCTTTCGCGCTCGTATTCGACCGCTTTGCTCGTGGACAACCTTAATTGAAATTAGCCTCCTCCGCAGGCATCGCCTTTCGATTATCGGGCAAAATTTCTTGCAGGCAAAAAAATTAATATTGAAATAGCTGTACGTATGCATATACGAGATACGACATGAAACTTCAGATTGCACAAGCAGTTAGCAAACTCATGTCACAGAAGGACATGTACGACAACTGAATGGTATCTTTTCCAGAGGGTCTGAATGGGGTTTACTGACTACTGACATTTGCCTGAATTCTTGACTGACAACTGACAAAATATCCTAACTGAGAAATGATGAAAAAATGATGAGTCAGCTTTTTTGCAGTAACTGACTACTGACAGCTTGCAATATATCGCACTGACAACTGACAACTGGCTTAAATTTTAGCTGAGAACTGATACCCAAAGACGCCCATTAAGACCCTCTGTCCATTTGTATGGTGTTATAGAAAGACACGCAGGGCCCAGGATAACGGCCAGTCAACGGACAATGACCAGCCAAAAATGCCTCTTGAACGGTCACTTTTTTACCTCGCCAGTCATTTTGACAGGCCACATTTTCATGCCTTCCAATGTGATTGCTGACGTCTTGAATTAAAACATGAAACTATGATGTATCGAAACAAGTTTCTATAGTTTGTTTCGCTGTTAGTGTAAGCGTATCAATGACCGGTCAAAAACAGATTTTGACTGAGCTAAAATCAAGTTGACCGGTCATTCTGACCGGAGACCTATATCTCCCGTTATTTCGAGCCTTCTTACACGCACTATTATATTCCACGTAAAATCCACGTTGATAATCTTTGCTTGACAAAATTTAAAGCAGTTTAATTAATACTTGAACATAATATAACAAGACAAACTCGTAAAGGCAGAGACACACCGGACGCGATTCGACAACGCGGCGGGATTTTTCAGTTAATAAAACAGCCGATGAAAGGAAATTCTAAAAGATATGTAGACCAAATAAACTCAAAATGTTATAGCGCTTCTACATATTTGGAAAACTTAAACTAGGATCAAAGTTATCGGTCAGTGACTAAATCGAAAAATCGCGCCGCGTTGCCATGAATCGCGCCGTTGGGCCATGAAACTATATAACGTTCTCTAAAGTTGGAAACAGTTTGAAAGTCAATTAACAATAAAATGTTACTCACACGTTAAATTGATTGACAAGAAATTAGCTTAATAATATCCTCCTTTCAATTGAAATGGGGTCTGGTTAGGAAGGCATTCGAGAGCCGTTTAAGATCTACGACGCGACCCAGGCTCGACGACGCGCTTTCGAAACAAAGAAATTTGTCATGCAAGACAAAAACTGTGAATAATTTGTGGTTTCAGACCCAGGGTATTCACAACGGCTTTGTCATTCTCAACACAACGTTAAACTAAACATCACGTCTTTCAAGCAACGTGAAAGCTTATTGCTACCAGAGCTGCCGAGAGAATTCCGGAGGGGCCCGGGGCAATCTTCTCTGGGGGCCCCATGACATCATTATTTTTAAGCCAGACCCAAGTCAGTCACCCAAATAGACCTTAACTAGACTGCATGTGGAGCTACTGCAAGGGGCCCTCAATTTCAAAAACGCTGTGATCAATTTAAGGAACCTACTCAATTTTAGGCTCTCGCTCTCAAGTTGGGCCCTGTTAAGGTGGAGACCCGGGGCAACCCCCCCCCCCCCCCCCCCCC